CAATGATTCTAATGTACTCTGAATACTTTAAACTCACAAAACAATGATTCTAATGTACTCTGAATACTTTAAACTCACAAAACAATGATTCTAATATACTCTGAATACTTTCAATAATACTATTTTAAATACATAAAATAAAGATTCTAATGATGTAATAAATCAGTTCCACCACAAGAGAGCAAATAGTGTGTACACACACTGACACACACACACAGACACACACACACACACACAGTAATCAACAGTAGAAACATTAAACTAAAAGCAGACTTACTTCTCTTGTGTTTCTCTTCTTCTCTTCTTCTTCTTCTTCTTCTCTTCTTCTTCTTCTTCTCTTGCTCTTCGTCCTCAGTCTGTTCAGGTCTCACAGGAACAAACTTCTCACTTTTCATTTTAAATCACAAACTTTGTACAAAAAGTTTTTTTGTTTCTGCCGCCAAACGTTTCCGCTCTGAACAGACTGTCGGGCTCTGATGACGTCAGACAGCAGCGTGGGATGATGGGACGTGTAGTTTTTAACAGCTGCTCAGCTTGTTCGTGTGAGAACTTCAGATCCAAAGATGTAGAATCCGTCTTCAGACCCAGAACGATCTAAAAGTGACTTCAAACTGGATCGAGTCACTTCACAGAGAGGATCTGACGCCACCAGCAGGCGAGCCAATGAAGCGCACCTTTACCTTCAGATCGATCCTGGAGCAGAGTTCACACAGAAACGTGACTTTGAGATGTTTTAATGCTGAAGAGTCAAATCTTCATTAAAGCAAATGAACTACATCAATACTATTATCAATACTGTAATTTTCATTAAAAGACATGAGACATAATAAACATATTGATTTGATGCTGAAGGATTGTGTGTGACACCGAAGAGCAAAACAAACAAAACATTTTGTTTATCAAGCATCGATATCTGTCTATAATTATAAGTGAATCAAATATTCCACAGTTTGAAACCGAACCTCAGAAATGTGATGTTTGTCTGCATGTAAAATAAATGACTGTTTGTTTTTGTCCACCAGGGGTCAGCAGGGATTAGCTGTAAATAAAGATGGACGACATGACGGCTCACAGAAGTGAAGCCAAAGTGTCTCGATCGACCCCTGGTGGCTGGCTGCTGCATAAACCCTCCTCCTCCATGTTGGCAGATGGGACATGGACCAAACAAAACAAAGTATTTGTTGATGATATGAAGGTTACGCTGAATTTTAATAACTTTAAACATTTATTATATTTTCTTCACGATGATGCCTTCACAGACCCTTGTAAAAATGACAACGTCACCATCCCCCGCCCTCCAGTGGATGAAATCTGAT